ATGAAGAAAATTAATCGAAGTTTTGGTCAACGAGAGGCTTAGCGTTTGTTTGGTCGCAGTTGAAAAAGGTCAACAACCCTATTGTTTTGGTTGAACCCGTAAAGAGTTAAATTAATCTCGACTGTGATTTTAATTAGACTTAAGTTGACGCTTTGTCAACATGTGCATTAGGTGTGAAAGATAAACAACTCTAAGAAACAGGTGTTTTTTCGTTAAGAAGTTGAAAATTCTTCCCCTTAAAAGTGAGTGTCGTATTTACAGAGTAACTCTATAGTTTACCATTATCTATAGACACCGTTGATTGAATATATCACAGGGTGAACAAGCAAATAAATTCAAAATTTCGGTGGTCCTCGCCGTGTCACTCACAGATATTGCACGTTCCATCTAGGTTCGAAGAGAAAGCGTAGGATAGAGGTTGAACAGCTAACGAGTACAATGAACTATAATGTTAGAGGTATGATTTTCAAAGTGATGTTGCTTATGAACAAAATAGCGGAAGGAGAATTTAGGGATAATGTGTAGGAGTTCCATGGAGTTAGTTCTTTGCGAAACATAACGGATGAGGTATTCTCCCATGATCAGTTGGGCATCTGCTTTGATTTTTTATCTTTTACTACCCTTGAACGCGTTTTTCGCCAAAATTAGCGACCCGCATTGAACGTTGACAAGTTTTCCGTGATTCAGCTGAAGCTGTCAATACGTTAATGAATTTAGCGAAGCGTAGATCACTTGTGGGGGTTTCAGTTAAAGCCAGTTTGTTAGAATTTTGTTCAATAAGCTTCGTAAGACGTATTTCCAGCCACTAGCAGCTTTTCCACCATCGGCAGGCAATTATGTAGAAAAAAAGATGTGAAGCTATTAATTGCTCGTTTTATGATACTGGAACTGAAAACAAACTTTAATTGGGAAGTTGAAAGTTCTCTTTTTTGCTTTACAACTACTAAATACCAAAGAGAATTTTACTCATAAGCATGCTCATCCACGCAGGCGTCTCGCGAGAAAAAGAAGTTAGCGACGTTTCAGACATTTTTGCAAAAACTAATTGAGCCACCTTTTCTGAAGTCTCTATACTCGACGATGGCGAGGTGATATTAGCCCTTGACAGTAGATCTATTTTATCATTCAAGCACAGCGCAAAAGACATTTGATCTCAATACTCTAAAGTTACCTTTATTACATTATTATAATGACTACTAAAGCCTCTTTTCTGAAAAAAGGCGTCTCATCTTTTATCACAAAAAGTGATCAACAGCTATGTTTATCTTTCAAACCTAAGTAACATGTAGACAAGTAGTGAGGAAGCACTCAAGTGAGATTTTTAGCACTAATATTTATCAAATCTGACTTAGGAAAAAGCTAAGTTAAAAGTATCCATGAAAGCTTTGGAGCCCCCTTTACGAGGCAATATCAAAACAATCGACAAACATTTTATCCGTTGAACATAGCGTGTTAAACCTGCCATCAATCCCTTAAAACAGTGCTTAATTAATTACATCGCGTACTGAAATTCAAGCCGATAAATCGGAAAATTCGCCCAGAAAAATCGCCTGAGAAATCACTCTAAATTGGAAACATGTTGTAACACGAAACTGAGTTTTGAAAGGTATGAGAACATCACGAGGTTCTTGTAGCGACTGGTCTGTCGCAGTAAAATCTGGGTGTACAATAACGCTTTACCCGGTCACCTGAACTGAAATTTCAACTGTTATTCAAATGCATTGTAGTGAAAAGAAAACATTGTCAATGCAATCGATTAGCAATAACTTTTTTGGATAGTTTCTTTGAAAAACTAAATTTAAAACATTTTACGGCATTAGGGCACTTACTCATCAAAGGAGAAAATATTTCTTTAATTGTTACTTCCAGGTAATATGATTTGTTTGTTTCTAAGTTAAGTGCACTTTCCGTTCGCTTTGTTTTAGAATTTGCATTGAAGACTAAAGAATCAAAAGTTTGTTTATCCCTTACTTCCTGGTAATATCATTTATTTGCTTCTCGGTTAAGTCTACTTTGCGTTCTTAAATAAAAAAATAATAAAGAAAAAACAAGCCCTTGACTACTGGGAGGCTTACGCTCTTTTTTGGGAAAATAGAAAAAAAAAATTGGCTGTGAAGCGTTTGATATATGAAAGCACTATCTTTTTTTGTCTCCGTCGACATGACACCAACAATGTGTTAATCGAAGGCAGGCGACATTTACCCGGTAGTCAAAACATCGTCGCTTGAACATGTTACAGAGTGAAAATGAGTTCAATGTTTAAAACATCCAAACATATACTTAAATTCCCAAATTTCATCGGCGAAGATTTCCCATAACAATCAAAAAACCGTTTAGTCGTTTAATTATCATTGCTACGTGATGTTAACCGCAACGCTACTTCTATAGCGAACAAAGAATAGATTATCATGTTTTTCTTCTTCGAAATCTTGCATGTTTTTATATGGGTAAAAAAATAGGTTATTGACTGTGTATTTCTGGTGTAAAGTTCCGACACTTGAACTGTCCATTGAACTTAAGGAGGCACCAGTATCTTGTGCACCTCATAGAGCGAGTTCACCACTCACAGAGGGAAGTTTTGATTGCCGTAACAAAAATACCTGCCACAAAGTATACTTTTGATTGGAAACTAACAGGTGTTCCATCTGGTTTTATGAGATCAGAAGTCTTAATCCAAATTCCGCGCCCCTTATATCATCTTTTTATTCCTCACAGACCGGCGATAGAAACTACTTGTGATGTAATAACAAAACAATGGTTGGAGAGAACGCGCTCATTTTCTTGGGAAAGTTTTAATGTACTAAAAAGCCACATAATGTTTGGCTGGTCGCCGCCAAATATTCTGGCGACTTTAGTACTATTTCATTCTCTCCTCCTTCACCTCAAATTGTCGCCAATACAAGCCAAGCCGTACCCTCAACGAGATCTTCTGAGTACATATACAACAGGTAACCTAGGAGGCTTGAATGAAGGAGATTGGCCAGACTATATAAACTATAAAAATGGCGACTATATAGAGAGAGATAAGAGAAGTCCAACCGAAGTCGAGGACAGATTGCCAAACAGTAGATATGAACAATCGTTAACTGTAGAGCCTCGAAAGAGGCAGGGTATTGAAACGCCTATACAGCCTTTGACTTCAGATTCTCGTTTGGATAAAGATACTTTATCACACTTAAATACTGAGGAGAATGTCCGCTCTAAAGTCGACCAGCCAGATAGTGAATCGATTGGCGTCCCAGTCGAGGAAGAAAGAAAAGTCTCTAATAATAAAGCCATCGACAGTTCCGTTGCTGACCATCGGCAAGAGTCGATGGAAAAACCTGACAGCAATAAACAAAAAACAGAGAAATTATTGAAAGGAGAGGATTCTTCAAGTAAGGACAATGGGAACAATGTTCAAAAACAGCAAGGAGAAAGTGAGGAAATAAAAACGGAAAACAATGGCAAGAACGATAAAGCTGATTCAAATAGTGAAAGTATAAACAGTACTGAAAGCTTTGCAGAGAAAAACAGTGCAAACGTTCAGGAAAGCGAGACAACAGCGAGCGCGGTTGTTGATGAAAATGCACAAGTGCGTAGTGTTCAGCATAACGCTGACACGACTAAAAAGTTGGAAAATCTTCCTAATGACAAGAATGTTGTCAAATTTCCTGGGTCTCTATCACAGTCAGGAAATAGTGTAGCTGATGCAGTTATCGCAGGCAAGCAAGCAAGTCCACAGGAGGCTCAAACATTAACAAAGGACAGTGTCAATAAACAGGTCAGTGGTGATGAAACCAAGGGGTCCTCTGATAAATTAGAAACACAAGACACAACAATAAAATCACGTAATCAAAACACAGCAGCTTCTGGACTGGGAAGCAAGGATAATTTTTCAAGTAAAACGCAGTCATCACCTCAAGAAAGCGAAGCAGCAATACACACTGTGCCTCAAATTCAAAATGCACCCGTTGGACCAGTTCGAGACGCCTTAGGAAACAGTGGATCGGAAATTGTGACAACTCGTGGCGCTTCTGATCTTGATTCATATGCTGATAGAGACGGTGAACAAAAACAATCCAACGGGCCTGAAGTTGGACATTTTCAAGTAGACGATAAATCGGCTGATTTGGAAATAAACGCAAATTCTGCTGGAGTAAAAGTCAAAGCCAAACCTGCTTCTTTACAGGTGGTTTCACGCCCAGGTTCTCATTCTGCGTCAGCGGCTGCACAGGAACGATCGTTTTACCACCACTATCACTATCCACCATATCACCTCCATCACCACTGGTATCCTGGCATGAGAAGATCATATGGACATTTTCATCGTCGTAATTTTTACCATCCATATAACTCTTTCCCTGAAAGACGTGGTTTTGAAAGTTTTTACGACGAGGCACCATTTTACCGCCGTCATCTACATTACTGGTACCCTCACCATCATCGACACCATTTTCGCGATTCTTATTTATACGAGAGGTCGCGAATGGAGCAGCCCGAGGATTTCCCCGAGCATCATAGTCGAAGACGTCACAAAAGGCGTTTCCGACACTTGAACGGTCCATATAGACGACAGTATTACAATAACATACCGATAATGAACGGCATGGAATCTCCGCAGATGAATATGATGCCTGAAGAAGGGACAATGCCACAGCTACCGATTGGAGGGGGAATGCCATTTACCCAACGACAGAACATAATATCTCCAATGCCTCCACCCATAAACGTTGATGGTAATCCACCACCTGGTCTCCTCGGAGGTATGAATGCACAAAATTTTATGCTGAATGGAATGAACGGACTAAACAATTTAAACGGCGCGAATCAAATTAACAATATGAACGCATTTAGGGGTATCAATGACATGAGTAATATAGGTACAGCAGGCCTCAATTCGCTTGAGCCGATGGGAGCAATGGAAAGTTTACCAGGAGGCATAAATGGTGGTATGCAAGGCATGGCACCTACCAGCGAAATCCCTGTAGGATCACTAGGTACCAGGAATGTTAATTCACCGCCCGAGGCTCCTAGAATGGCTTTTAAGAAAACTAAAATTCTGTCAAGTAAGAAAAATAACGAAAGTGAAACAAACAATCACGATGCACGAAAAGCACCTTTGAACAAACAGCATGATGCAGGGAAGGCGAACAAAGGGAAAGTAAACATTGAAAGTTGGGAAAAAACTTTAAAACGATATCACCGTCTGAACGTATTTACCTCAAAAAAACACGAGCGACATCAATACCGGAGAAATGCCAAATTGGACGGAAAGAATACCGATAAAAAAGATACAAAGAAACATCACTTGTTGCACCCACACGCACAGCACCCAAAGGAAGTAAAAGGAAGTCGTAAAAATTCAATCGTCATGCACCGTCCTCCTATCATCTATCACCCACCACCAGAGATTTATCACAGACCTGATATTGTGGTTCACCGAGCACCAATAATGCTGCATCGACCACCAATAATTTACCATCAGCCTCCCGTAGTCGTTCACCGACCAGCAATAATATATCACCAACCACCAATAGTATTCCATCAACCTCCGCCAGTTGTTCATCAGCCAATTTTACATTCGCACGATACTTGGGTTGCAAAGCCTGTGGTGTATCACACAGCATCAATGGTTTCCCATGCGAAGACATACTATGGAGTTCCATCTCATGTGTACGCTGGTGACTTCGGAGGGGGATGCCATGGGGCACACTGCTCTTACAGAAAAGGAAAAGTACCACATCAAGCCAAGAACAGCACACAGCCAGATAAATTCAAGAAAACAAAGCGTGACAGTTTGAGCGACTACGTGGCATATTTCACAAGCTTGTGGAAACCGAAGGTCTTAACAAAGAGAGAAATCGATGATCAATATGACTTTATTACGTCAACTGAGGGATCCAAGGAAAAGTTAAGCTACAAAAATATGGACGTCGACGTGGTAAATAAAAGAGACACTTCATCAGAGCACATCAACGGGAATCTAAAGTTTAGAAGGGAAACAGAACAAGACGACAGAGATGATTCTAAAGGCGGAACACAAAAGAAAAAAAAGAAAGATGTGGTTGTCAATCGTCCTCCAATAATTTATCATCCTCCACCTGAGATTTATCACCGCCCAGATATAGTCGTTCACCGTCCTCCCCTTGTAATACATAGACCACCCATTATTTACCATCAGCCACCAGTAATTGTCCATCGTCCCGCCGTGGTGTATCATCAACCGCCAATTGTTTTCCATCAACCGCCACCTGCTGTTAGTCAACCACTGCTTTATTCTCATGATTCTTTCACTGTCCATCCATCATTTTATGCAACGCATCATGGCTCTGTTGTACGAGATTTTGGACATTATGTAGGGGTGCCAAACGTTATTACAAACTACGGAAATCCACTGTTCGGAAGACCTCCACCCATAGGAAAAAGATCAAAAATAGAAGGTTCCTCTACATCAGAGAACGCAACTGTTGCAGACAGTAAAAATATAACAACAGCTGCCTCGAAAAGGACCTCTTTTGAGGACAACGCTAAGAAAGCAAAGAACGAGACAAACGAAAAAGCAGGAAAAAAGAACACCGTGATCGTGAGACGACCTCCAATAATATATCACCCGCCACCTGAAATTTATCATCGCCCAATAATTGTTGTCCATCGACCTCCAATAATGATTCACCGAGCACCTATATTTTACCACCAGCCACCCGTTGTTGTACATCGTCCAGCAATAGTGTATCACCAGCCTCCCCTGGTATTCCATCAGCCTCCACCAATGGTTCATCAGCCAGTGCTGAAGTCCCATGACACCTGGATTTCTCACCCTGTGGTGGTGCCTTACTCTTCACGAGTGTTGCATCACCACACATACGTTGGTGTTCCCGACGCCTACACCGTTCATCACTTTGGGGGAGGACACGGATACTCATTTTACAAATCACATATTTTGAAACACAGCAAATCTTTAGAGGAGGAAGCATCCGCAAGAAACAAAATAAGTGGTGATACCAACTCTACAAAGTTAGAGGAAGATTCCTCCCACAAAACTTTGCACTCAAGAAAAGAAAACGTTACTTCAAAACTAACAACCAAAAAGGCAAAGAGTCAAAAGGGAAGGAAGAAAAATGCAGTTATTGTGCGACGCCCTCCAGTGATTTATCACCCTCCACCCGAAATTTATCACCGACCAGAAATAGTGGTTCACCGTGCTCCTATCGTTATCCACCGAGCTCCAATTATCTACCATCAGCCACCCGTGATTGTGCATAGGCCCGCCATTGTATACCACCAGCCGGCTCTTATTTTTCATCAACCCCCGCCTGTAGTACACCAACCAGTATTCAGGTCACATGACACTTACGTCCACAGACCCTTAGTAAGACTATACGGATCTCGAATGCATCACGTTGGACACCTGTACCATATACCACATGCATATTATCACGGACATGGCGGAGGTGTTCATTACATGGCTTATGGAAAGTCCAAGGTACCTGCCAAAGAAAAGACTGAAGAAGAAAAAGGAGAAACAAGAGCCACTGTGAAGGGCAAGAGAGGCCACAGAAAGTCCAAGTCAAAGAAAACTGGGGCTCCTAGCGGACGAAAGCATATTCCTCTCACAAGGAGCAAAGACAAAACAGAAACAGGAACGAAGCTTCACAAAAGCCATGGCCTCCAGGTGAAGTATCACGAGGCAAAGGAGGTTACAGAGAAAGCAAACAAAAAGAACTCTGTGGTTATTCACAGGCCGCCTATCATCTACCATCCACCACCAGAGATTTATCATAGACCAGATATTGTGGTACATCGTGCTCCTATAATGCTTTATCGTGCCCCAATTATCTACCATCAGCCACCAGTAGTAGTTCACCGTCCAGCTATTGTTTACCATCAACCTCCAATAGTTTTTCATCAGCCACCACCAATGGTCCATCAACCAGTTCTGCATTCACATGATACCTGGGTTACTAAGCCTGTTGTGATTCCCTATGCATCACATGTCCGCCACGTAGCAACATACAAGGGTGTTCCTCATGAAGAGATATTTATGCATGGGATTGGCACTGGAGCTTTTGGAAAATCTCATGTTCCCATGAAAGCCACCCGTAGAGACAAAGTTCACAGGATTGAGGAGAATGACCAGGATTCTGCCGAGAAAACAAAGACAACAACAGAATTGAATAAGCCGTCCAATGAAACACAAAGTACTAAGACGAAGCATGCAGATGATACAAAGCAAAATGAGAAGAATAGCACTAAACTTGGAGCAGGAGAACGAATTGCGCGAGCATTGTCTGATTCGCTGATCCATAAGCAGTGGGAGACGCGTAGTCCTGTCGGGGCCCAAACCAGAATTCAAAGAAGCCTTCACAGCCTGCTTCCATACTTCAGCGACCCAATCGAAAGTAGGTATTCCAGTGAATTTTCCTTGTTTCCCCAACGACACAATGTTATTTCAGGAGAAGTACCAACAAGAATTCAACGCTCCATTGACGACGTTTGGAATCCTTACACAAAACCACTGATCAGCAGCGTTGATAGTCGTATGGGACCCAGTGCAAGGATACAGCGAGCATTAGCAGACCCTCGGACAACGTTTGAAGGTGAGACAGCTTATGAAATGTATAAACGTAGTAGTGAGGAAAATCAAAACTCTACACCAGACGAAAACGCAGACAAAAACACCAATAGCACCAAAAAGACACTACTTATAATTCGCAGGCCACCAATATTGTTTCATCCACCAAGCCATATGATTCATCGACCTTCAATAGTTGTTCACAGGCCAGACATAATAGTCCACCGTCACCCAATCGTCTTTCACAGACCACCAATACTAGTGCATCGTCCCCCCATTATAATTCATCGCCAACCAGTTCTTATACACAGACCACCCATCATAGTTCATCGCCCTCCATTAGTATTTCACCGACCACCAATAATAATTCATCGTCGTCCATATATCATTCACCACCACCCAATACTCTTCCATCGACCGCCAATTATAATACACAAGGGACCGCAAATGATAGTTCATCATTCCCACCTGATTCATCACTATCCCATGCATATGATTCACATGCACTGCCCTGGTTGTGGTTATGGTAAATCGACCGTTGCACGACTAGAAGATAACAGTAGTGAGCACGACATTATGAAAACATCACAATCTGACCGATCGCATAAAGACGCGACTAACGTGGATTCCAAAGGCAAAAGTTCTAACAAGCCGAAACGCTCTGTTGCAGACAAGAAGTCAAAGAAAAGCTCTGGAGAAACAAATCATCACAGAAAGAGAAAGGAAAGCCGTAAGAAGAAGAAAGATGTAGTCGTCAATAGGCCTCCGATTATCTACCATCCCCCACCGGAGGTATACCACAGACCAGACATTGTTGTACACAGAGCTCCTATTCTTATCCACAGACCACCTATTGTCTACCACCAGCCTCCTGTCGTTGTTCACAGACCTGCTGTCGTTTATCACCAACCTCCAATCGTCTTTCATCAACCTGCTCCAGCAGTCAATCAACCAGTCCTGTATTCACATGACAGTTTTGTTGTTCATCCAATGGCTTTTGCATCTCACATGGGTTCTGTTGTGAATGACGCTGGCCATTACGTGGGCTTACCCCATGGTGGGGTCACTAATTATCCGGGCAACATCCTTCATGGTCCAACGGGACACATGTTTCCTACGTTAAACCAGGCACACTGGGCTCGACGAACAGAAGTTTCAAAACCACAGCGCGCAAAGCCTCTTAAGGTCAGAGATAAGAAACATCAACAACACCAGAAGCGCACGAGTGAGTTAAAGGAAGACGAACATGGACATTTAAGGGAAGCCCAGTCCACACCAACACGGCAGAAAAGCAAGCATACCAAAGGTGAGAGAAAGAATAAAGTAATCGTTGCACGACCTCCTATGATTTATCACCCGCCACCTGAAATTTATGACCGGCCAGATATTGTAGTGCACAGACCAGATATTGTAATTCACCGACCCTCAATCGTTTACCACCAGCCATCTGTAGTAGTGCACAGAGCACCGGTGGTTTATCAACAGCCTCCAGTTGTATTTCATCAGCCCTCACCTATGGTTAGTCAGCCAATTTACCATGCCCATGACACCTATTTAGCACACCCGGTGTTTCACCCGCAAGTCAGCCACATAGCGCACTCTTCAACATATGTAGGGGCACCCCATCTCTATCCTGGACATAACGATTACGGATGGGGGCTTTCAGGACATCTACCTGCAGTACAGACACCCCAATACCACTATGCATCTAATTACGGCTATTATGGTATCCATGGATACACACCATCCCCGGCATATGGGGCCTATGGCTATTCTTCGTATGGACCTGCTTTTGGAAGATCAGAAGTAGAAAATAGCACAACTAAGTCATTAAAAAAGGAAGACGAAAGGAAACATTTCAAAGGCTCACTTCCGAATAAGAACGTGTCTCGGAAACGGAGGTCAGCTGAAATGAGCAAACGTCACTTTCATCACCATCATCGCCATCATCATCATCACAGCCAACATCACCGACACAGTCATCATCATCGCGGAACTAAGCGCTTTTACCACCTTCGGCCCATTAGTGCTTTTTCTCACTCAGGACATCGCAAACACGTCATTATAATACATCGACCTCCTCTAATTTATCACCCAGCCCCTCAAGTGTATAGACAGCCAGATATTTTGATGCACTTACCACCACTGGTTTACAACAGGCCGGCAATAATGTTCCAACAACCACCGACGATCGTTCATCATCCTCCAATAATTTATCACCAGCCACCAGTCGTCTTTCACAATCCGCCGCCGATTATTCACACTCCCGTGATACACTCCCATGAGATCTTCACACCGCATGCGCAGAACATAATGCTTCCTACGTCATCTTATTTGCATCGTTCTGGGAATTACCTTGGGTCTGTTCTTCAAGGAGCTGCTTACGGTAAATCGAATATAGAGCGAGTGGAAACCTCCAGTTCCAAGATCGAGTCTGAAACAAAGGAAAAGGGAGAAGTCCAGAAAACAAAACCGAACGAAAAAAGAGAGGCAATCCACTTAGGTAGAGCCAAATTGTTAAATAATGAAAAAGCAAAGAAACAGAACGTCGGTGTTGTAGTTCATCAGCCACCAATAGTATATCATCCACCTCCTGATATATTTGATAAGCCAACTGTTGTGATGCATCCACCTCCATTGATTGTACACCGTCCACCCATTCTTATCCATCGAGCTCCTGTTGTAGTGCACAGACCTCCCGTAATAATACACAGGCCTCCTATAGTGCTGCACCATCCAACACCCGTGTATCACGTAGCACAAGGACATCTTTTTAATCCTATGAGATTTGCTTTTGGAAAGTCATCCATAGAAAAAGATAACTCAACAGTATCGAAAGAAAACCTAACTGGTAAGGGAGAGTATATTGCTAAAAGTACCAAGCCAAAAGGAATTAAAGAAAAATCTCAGGATAACAAAGGTGAAAGGAAGAACTTAGTTGTTGTTCACAGACCACCAATGATTTATCATCCACCACCGGAGATTTATGATCGACCAGACGTAATAATGCATCGCCCAGATATTGTGGTACATAGACCATCAATAGTGTATCATCAGCCCTCAGTCGTGGTTCATAGACCTCCAATAATTTACCGCCAACCACCTATTGTATTTCACCAGCCTCCTCCCATGATTCATCAACCAATTATGCATGCCCACGATACTTATCTTGCCCATCCTGTTCCTGTACCATACACATCCCAGATTCATCATACAGCAACGTATGTTGGAGCTCCACACTATTTTCATCATCAGCCATTCGGTGACTTTATTGGCCATGCTTTCGGAAAATCCGCTGTTGAAAAGGTAGAGAATAAAAATACAACTAAGGACGAAAAATTTATCCAGAAGAAAACAAGCAAAGCCGGGGAAAAATCTCACTCAAAGTCAAGGCGTGACATACGCGATAAATACGAACCAAAAGCAAAGTCATCAGAACAATCGAAAGGGCACAAAAAAAACAAAGTTATTATAGCTCGGCCACCGATGATTTACCATCCACCACCCGAGATATATGACAGGCCAAACATCATTGTTCATCGACCGGATATAGTTATACACCGTCCCTCAATTGTTTATCATCAATCTTCCGTCGTTGTCCACAGACCTCCAGTTATATACCAACAACCCCCAGTAGTCTTTCACCAACCTCCACCATTGGTTCGTCAGCCCATTATGCATGCTCATGACACCTACGTTGCTCATCCTGTGCCAGTACCATATTCTTCCCACATACAGCATACATCCACTTACGTAGGTAGCCCACACCATTACCCTGGTGGATGGAATTATGGCTGGAGCCAACCTCAATTTTTTAGTCCCGCCTTTGGTAAATCCAAAGTACCCAAGACGAATTCTAAACCCTTAAAAGGACAAAAGGCTAAAGAGTCACAGAAAGATAAGATTAAAAGAGCAGCAAAAGATGACCAAAGCAAAAACTTTAAGGCAATAAAGCCCAAATCAGAGAGAGCGTCTAAAAAGAAAAACCAGGTTGTTATACAACGTCCACTACTAATCTACCATCCACCGCCAGAGGTATATCACAAACCTGATGTTGTGATGCACAGACCGGACATAGTCATTCACAGGCCACCAGTTGTTTATCATCAACCCTCGGTGGTGGTCCACAGGCCGCCAGTGGTTTATCAACAACCGCCGGTGGTTTTCCACCAGCCATCACCAACTGTAAGCCAGCCGATTTTCCACGCTCGTGATACTTATCTCCCTCATCCATACTTTACACCCTACGCAACAAGCATGTCTACTAGTGGAAACTACGTCGGGACACCTCACTTTTATGGTAGTGGATGGGGAATGGGAGGTGATATGTATGGCTTTCACAGTGCATTTGGTAAATCAAATGTAGCCAAGGCTCACAAGAAACAAAAGAATGTGAAGCAAGAGGACAAGAGGGTGGACAAGGGTAGCAAAAGAACTTTAGAACAGGAAGCAAAGAGCGCAGAAGACAAATTAAGACTTAAAAACGAAACTAAAACAACCATTAAAGGAAACAAAAAGAATCTTGTAATTATGCGGCGACCTCCTCTTATTTACCACCCACCACCAGAAGTTTATCACAAGCCAGATGTCATCATGCACAGACCAGATATCGTTATTCACAGACCTTCAATAGTTTTTCATCAGCCTTCTGTGGTTGTACATAGACCTCCAGTTATTTACCATCAACCTCCAGTTGTCTTCCATCAGCCATCACCTATGGTTCACCAACCAATCTTCCATTCACACGACACCTATTTGGCGCATCCCCATTTTGTTCCGTTCACGTCGCACGTTTACCATTCCCATAGCTACGTAGGTGCACCGCACTTCTACCCTGGTGACTGGGGATGGGAAAGACACCACTACGGTTATGGTTTCCATCATGCCTTTGGAAAATCAAAAGTCGAGAAAGCAAGAAAAAAGCACAACAAGAGCAAAACGATTGAACATGAAGAGAGTAGAAGGACGCTTCATGAAACTGAGGCTCGCAAAACTAATGAAAAGGAAAGAGGAGATAACTCCAAAGTCCACAAGAAAAATTTAGTAGTAATGCGTCGTCCACCACTTATCTATCACCCACCACCAGAAATATATCACAGGCCAGACATAGTTGTACACAGACCAGACCTTGTTATTCACAGACCATCGGTTGTTTTCCATCAGCCATCTGTCGTAGTACACCGTCCACCGGTAATTTATCATCAACCACCAGTTGTTTTCCATCAACCATCACCAATGGTACATCAACCAATTTTTCACGCACATGAGACGTACTTGGCTCATCCCCACTTCGTGCCCTTCATGTCACATTTAGCGCACGCTGGTTCTTACGTGGGAGCGCCACACTTTTATCCTGGGCATTTTGGACATGGTATCGGACATTTTATGGGGCATGCTTTTTACAAATCTAAAGTAGAAAAAGGGTCTAAAAAAGGATCAGTGAGAACCATTGAAAAGGGCAAGAAAGGGAATGAAGTCAGCCATTCGAAAGAGGCTCTCCGCAGCAAATTCAAACGGGACACATCTAAACCTTCAAAGACTCTAAAAAGCCATTCTAAGTCCAAACTGTTGACGCACATTATTAAGGGAGGTACTCAAGGAGCAAATATTAAAAAACTAAGTGAAAACGCAAAAACGAAGAGCGTTCCTCTGCATCCGCAAAAGGAGGATAAAAAGCGTCACCGTAAAGGACATAAAAAGAACATGGTCGTTATACAACGTCCAACTTTGATTTATCATCCTCCCCCTGAAATATACGACAGACCTGACATTATCGTTCACCGACCAGATTTTGTAATCCATCAACCATCAGTTGTGTACCATCAGCCATCCGTTGTTGTCCATCGTCCTCCAGTTATCTATAATCCGCCTCCAGTTGTTTTTCATCAACCTCCGCCTACGGTTCATCAGCCAATGTACACTGCACATGATATGTACCGTAGCCATCCCTCTTTTGTTCCGTATTCCTCACACATCAAACATACTCATACGTACGTTGGAGCACCTCACTACTACGCTGGAGGATGGAGGTATGGTTACGGTTTTTCAAACAACGCTATACCCCACATGAGTAGTTGGCATAGATGGAACGCTTTCCAAAGTCCATGGTATTCACCTTCACTATACAGAGCAAACTACATTGCACCCACTATTCCGGCAAATCGGAGAGTTTTGCCTCGTCCCAACCCTGTAGCATTTAGCAAGTCCCATGTTGAGAAACACACCGACAAATACCAGGAACTCAGTAAAACCCACGAAAAGTCTAGGGAAGGAAAACATATCACAAGCCTTCATCATTCTATCAAGAAAGCAGGAGTGAGAAAGCCACGTTCAATAGAATCCAATAGAATTGTAACAACAACTTACCATTCTTTAAAGAATAAACTTCACAAAAAGGGTCATCAGAATGGAAAAGGTGGTAAGAAGAATCAGGTAGTAATAAGAAGGCCACCACTTGTATATCACCCACCGCCAGAGGTGTATCATAGGCCAGATATCATTGTGCATCGCCCTGATATCGTACTCCATCAACCTTCCGTTGTCTATCATCAACCTTCCGTTGTGGTTCATCGTCCTCCTGTTATATACCGACAGCCACCAGTAGTATTTCATCAACCAGCACCAATGGTAAGACAACCAATTTTCCATGCACATGAACACTACATGGCTCACCCTGCATTTGTTCCTTTCACGAGTCATGTCCAACATAGTGGAACTTACATAGGAGCTCCAGGCTTTTTCAATGACGGGTGGAACTATGGATACGGTCATGCTTTTGGAAAATCGCACGTGATCAAATACAAATCTAAGTCAGAAAAAACAATGAAAAGGAACAGGAAACAGGAAACCAGATAGGAGAGAAGAAAGGGAAATATTTTACATCCTCAAGAGGCAAAAGACGAGAAAGCATCCAGAAAGAATGACATAGTGGTAAGCCGTCCCCCAATCATTTACCATCCACCACCTGAAATTTATCATAGACCAGACATCGTAGTTCACAGAGCGCCAATAGTGCTTCATCGTCCACCTATAATCTACCATCAACCACCAGTCGTAGTGCACCGACCTGCTGTTGTGTATCATCAACCACCCATAGTATTCCATCAACCACCTCCCGCAGTTAACCAGCCTATTCTACACTCTCATGATTCATTTATTCTCCGTCCTGCAGCCAGATTCCTTCCCCAAGGCTCAACGGTAACACACAGTATGAGCTATGTAGGAATTCCAAACCATGTAATCCATGGAGATGAGCTGGATTTTCATCACTTCCATCGGTCTCATATTGAACGTTCCTCGAAAGGTAAATTCAACTGGAAGTCATCAAAACCTCAGATAGCAAAGTCGACAATCTCGAAAACACCTACAACTAAAACTGAAAACACTGAAACGATCATCACCGACCAAACTCAGAAAAAGACTTTGCGATCTACAATAAATCACCACCCACTCACGAAAAGACAGTTTATGGGCTCTCACCCACTATATGGACCTGTTTCTCCAATTAATGATGTAGAAGATCTATACAAGTCCATTGAACAAAAAGAAAAGATGTCTATTATACCAGGGAACACCTCAATCCGCGAACATGAAGTTGCAAAGCGATCCCATAAACCAAGTCATCACATGACCAAGAGACAGTTAATCTTACCAGAATCTGCCGGAAGTGTGTATCACAATTCAATACCCTCAGTTTACAATCAACTTGAGACAGCTGCTCTACAGAATCAAGCTTTAATGGAAGAGCAGGGGATACCTAATCCGGACGGAATCAATATAGAACATTTGCCTGGTTTTGCCGCTAACTTAAAAGCTATTCAGGAGCTTGAAGGAGCTCCGGTCGCAGCGTCGCGTTTTTCAATACCATTGCAACAATACCTGCCCGCAGCTCCAAAGGATGACCCTCCCGATGTTCGTGTTCACGTCGAAACGGCAAAATCCTCCATACCGCTTAGAAAACGTGGAAAACGTCAGCTCGTTCCATTATATCAGCAGCAAGGTCCCGTAATTCCGAGATTTCTTTATCAAGCTCAAAACCCTGGAAGTGTTGGAGTCATACACTCTCCTGCCCCATCATCTCTTTACAACCTCTTCAATGCATACCATCCTGCTTACCACACCATACCAAATCCACTGAGCTATTTATCTATGGTTCCGCAACTTCCACATCGTCCCCATGTAAATATAAATGTACAGTCTGCAAGGTCTGCAATACCAGTGCATGTCCTTCAAAAACGATCTAAGAGGCAACTACTAGCCCTTACTCCACCAGTCCCAAGAGTTATGCCCGTTGGATTTGATGGAACTGGATTAATTCGTAACTATCCTACATACTCGCCTTTCGCAGCTATTTCCCGATTTTCACTTCCACTTTTGACAAACTTCAAATATGCTGACGACTCCGTTCCCTCAGAGCCTGGATACCCAGAAGTACTACCCTTGTTTCATCAATATCCAAAACAATTGCACAGGCTATATAACACATTATCGCAAGATGGAAGCAGTGACTCGCCACCAATTAACCCATGGGCCTCTTATCTAGCAGCCCTTTACAGTAGCTTCCTTGGTTATCCCCTTTATCACCGCCATCATAAACCTAAAGTCCGCGTTGAAGTCCAAGCATCCAAATCACATATACCCAAAGTCTTAAAAACAGAAAACAAGCACACTGTTCATTCCCGAGCTCCCATTACCAAAAGACAGTTACTTAATTACATACCGGAATCCTCATTCACCGCAGGTCACTTTACCTTACCACCAGCATTAAATTATGGAATGCAAGGGATTCCTTTACAACGCTCACCACGAGTAAACATCAACGTTGAAACGACAAAAAAGAACAGAATTCCCGCGGTTAAAGAGTCAAAAGGATCCACAAAACGAGGTAATATAAAACATCGCCAAGTAAACAAAACTGGAGATAAAAGAGACGAAATGATAGATGGAGAAAAAAATGGCGCAGATATGTTCCAAAACCGAGGCAACCCTGACTTCGCTAACAATCCAGAAAACCAGTTTGTTGCTACAAGTGAAACAGCTGGAAGTGAAGAGGAACCTACATCCAATAATGAAGGCCAGCCTCAAAGTCAGAGTGAAAATTTCCAGCAGCAATCGGAAGAAGAAGCGGTCGGACAAAGGCAGGATCTACAGCAAAACTCTGAACAGCAACTGTTGCCATCTCAAGATCAACCTGTCATGGAACAGACGACATCGCAACCACAAGCCTTACGTGCATATAATGTACCATTGCAACTGCCAGTGCAACAGCCACTGCAATCGGCATTCCAGGTACCTTTCCAAGCACCATTTGTGGTTCCTTTTCAAGGTAGGCTGCCTAATGCATTACCAGTAGCTCCTGCCATCCCTGTCGCAGAACAGCCATCTTCTCAACAAGAGACAGAACCTGAAGTTGTTCAACCAAAACATACTTCCATTAGTGTTAATGTTGCAGAAAAATCGACGGTTCCAAAGAAAAGGTCAAAGAAAAGAAAACATCCACTTCACAAACGACAGTTTCTACCTGTAACACAAGGATATGTTCCCGCCTATAGAGTTCCTATTCCTTACAACAGTAATGCACCTCTGCCTGACCAAAAAAGGCCTCGAGTGTCTATCAGCGTACAAACAGCAAGAAGATCAACAGCGCAACAACCTCATAACAAGCGCCAAAGCATTTCACTTTTGACGAGATTTCCAGCTATGCAAGTTCTGCCGCAAACTTTTAAACAGAATGGCATTATGATGCCCGCTTTTAACACCTTACCAATAAATCATAAACTAAAGGCAAATGGAATGTTGATAGAAGAGTTGCAGAGAAAGAAAAAAAACAAGATTCAAGAGGCATCCAGAGGATTCAAAACAGGAAAGAGTGGCCAAATAATGCAAAAGGCGAAATTAAGCACGCCACTAAAAATGAGTTGGTATCGAAGAAGAGAAAATGCAAAGAAACGCCAATTCTTTGCTGTACCGCAATCACTTTCAGCATTTCAGCGGTATCCATTACTTCTCCGTCCAAAGCTTCACCCAAGACCTCGTGTTTCAGTAAACGTGGAAGTTTCAAAGAGAAAATTTGACTTTCAAAAGGGCAAAACACAATCAAAAAGTGTGAAAAGTAACCCGGAGGAAACAGATGGTCGTATATTTGACAAATCAGCACGAAAGAGACAGGTGTATGGAATAGATCACCTGCGGCAAATGGTGCACCTCCCGGTTGTTGGCGCACCTATCCTTACCCAAAGCCCCGTAGCCAACCAACGACCCCGTGTGTCAATTCACGTGGAAACAGCAAAGAAAAAGAATAGACTCTCACGCAAAATAGATCACCGTAAAGAAGCCGAAAGAAAAGGAAAAAGACAAATATATGGTCTATCCGAGCTGCCACACGAAGGGTTACCTGTTACCATTGCCGGTCAAGGACAAGCACTTAATCGATATTTTCCCAACACTGAACACGATCCACACGTTTCTGTCAATGTGGAGGCCTCAAAGCGATCGGATGACGATGACGATATGATGCATAAGCGGCAGGTATTTCTCCAACCTGTCGAACAGGATCAGGAACAGGTTGCAATGACTAATGGAGATGAATCAAGTCAATCGCAGGAGCCGAATCAAGTTGGTGTCATACAATCACCCACTCCAGAAAAGGAACAACTTCACTCCTTACCGACACTAATTCAATCAAACTCAGGTGTGACCGAACCACAACAAGTGGAAGAGTTATCTCAAAGTGAAGCCTTACCTTCTCAGGCCGGTTTGAGTGAAACTGATAATGAGCGACCGCGGATTTCAGTTCATGTTGAATCATCTAAACGATCACAATATGAAAGACAACGCAAAGTAAATGGAGTTATCGGACCAAAACTCCGCACAGCCCCTTGGAAAGGATCTAAAAGACAGCTTCAGCGACAAGACCTACAACGCGAAGATTACGAGCCCGAGCAAGAAACAACTGCTGCAAACCTAGGGGATTTACTCCAAGACCAAAGACCCCGCGTATCTGTTGATGTCAACGTCGCCAAAAAGAAACACACTGTCACAGGGACTTCCTCTTTAAAGAAGAGAAAGTACCATGGTCACACGGCCAAGGCTAGTAATCCTGCAAGGAGGCAAATCACAGTTCCGTTTGGGGGAGGAATAAATGCAATTCAAGTGGATCCCAATCAAAATACTCAGTTTATGATAGGAAAAGACCGGAACGAAAACGGGCAAGGTGCTCAAGAGGCTCCGATGTCTTTTCAGTCACAATTACAAGTCCCTGATGAGCAACAACAACAGCAGCAGCAGCCGACACAACAGATCATGCAACCAGTCGCAATATTACAACCTGATCAACAGCAGTTTCCAGCGCTTCAACGGGCAATAATGCCAGATGCCAATACTGTGGAAGAAAAAACACGACCAAAAGTCAGCATAAGTGTTCAGACAGCAAAGTCCTCAATATCTAAAAGAAAAGATCACGCGAGGGACTCGCACTCTCTCAATGAGCCGCAAGTAAAACAAAAGTTAAGACGTCAGCTTTTTGGCACCGTCCCACTTCTTAGTTCGCTTGGACAGTCAACATTAAATGGCGCATCTAAGGAAAATAAAAGGTCAGGTGAACCACTATCCACGCGAGAAACACCAAGTCATATTCAAGATGGAGACCGTTTATGGAAACGTCAATTGTTTAATTATCTAGGAGGTCAACAGGAACCCCAATTTGTGCCTACCCAGTCACTGCAAAGTTCCAGTGATACTCAACAACAGGGGCAAGCGCTACAAATACAGCCCATTCAAGCAATGCCACAAGATGACGGGGCACAACTTTCATCATTCAACCTACCACAAGCCTCTCTAATACAGACAAGCGATCAAGGGTCTTTACAGACATACCCAACCCAGGTAGAAGCCCCAGGGAGCACTGAACAGGCTTCAACGACGGCTATTCAACCAGTTGAGTCCTCTAATAACCTAGACAGACCATTTCAGAGGCCTCACGTGAGCATTAATGTGCAAACTGCTAAATCTCAGGTGCCAAACCCACGTAAATTATTCCACGATCATGCATTAAAAGATAACGCTGTGAATTCGAAACATAACACAGGGAAGGGTCAAGAAAGGAAGAAATTCAAAAGACAGCTGGATATTCTCGGTGGTGGAATGATTGAAAGGAGACGTGGCCCAAAACTGTTGGGAGGTCTTAAGAAACCAAGGCCAGAAAACTTGTTCGGTTTGGGTAACAATCTAAACAAGCCCGTCGAGGTGTTCACGGATCCCATTTCCAACCTAATTGGTGGTGGTGCCGGAAGAAAGAGACCGAAGCTTGGAGGAATAAGGTTAGAGAGCCCTACAGGCGTTGGAGCTCTTCCCCTTAAAGGAGCTGCCGCTGCGTTAGAGAGTGCGCTTCCTCCTGAATTGGGTGTATCCAATACACTTCAAGACAGCCCAACAGAGGCAGTTGCCCCGTTTACGCAAGAAACTAGAATTGCTAATGAGCCCTTGTTTCGTCCCCCAAGTGGAATAGCAGGACCTCAACTAGACGCACTGGAGAGAGAAGGTGATAGAGCAAATGATGTTCCATTAAATGATCTGCCTTCCATGAGACCAGCAGTACTCCCTCTGCCATCGATCAATCGGGTCTTCCTACCAAATCTAGAGGTTCCGCAGGCAGCGCCGCCGCAGGTGAATCCACTGCTTCTGACACCAAGGGTGTTACCAATTGGGCCCATACTTCCCATCGCATCACCTGCACCTTTACCACCACCAGTGGAAGAGACTGAACCCACAGAAGTTCCACAGGCCCCTCCTCGCTTCGCACCCTTGCTTCCACCCATTTTTCCCCTGCCAGGTCCTAGTATCGCACCGAATCCCGCCTTAACTGCCCCAGACAGTTTGCTACCTGAACCAGAAGATGATAAACCATCGGTGCATGTTAATGTGGAAACATCAAGATCGAGTGTTCCTGAAACGGGTCGCCACTCTAAACAGCACGCAAACAGCCCAGCCAAACGTGGCTAGGCTGAGAGAGAAAATATTGCTCGAGGTATGATCAGCTGTTAAGCGATTGTCGAATAAATTAAACAAGATGGTGAATAACGTAGCCACCTTTAAGCCAATTTAACAATAGACGGGACAGTAAAGTAACGTTGTACAGAACAGATATATTACGCAACTAACCTCATGTTGACTTACACAATCTTGTATTTAATCTTATAACGTTACTTCTGAAACTAACTTTATCAGGTGAGATCATGAGCTCCATTTCACAGCTCATTATCTTTCGCCAAAAATAAACAGACTTTTCTGATGTCTGCCGTTTGTAATCAAAGAGTAAAGTAACTGAGTAAATAGGAACAAAACTGTGTTAAAGTAATACAAGAACACATGGACGACTCGTTTTAATCTACGAAATAAATTCCCTTTGTTGTCCTAATTTGATTTCTATTCCCTCTTCAGGGCTTAGTGTGGATGTACACAAAAAAATTCAAACAGAAGAATAAAGGAAGACAACGTCAAGGAGCTGTTATAAATGATACGAAAGCCTTAAAATCTGTGGATACTTTCAACAACCTCAACATGATTCCTATCCCGTTGCAAAATTGTTCATCTTTTTTTTTTGAGAGAGAAGTGGCCGAAAATTGGACAAACATAGCTTAACAGACGTCTTAACAGACCAGGACTTGAACTTGAATGAAATAATTTGGAAATACATGTATGATTCGAAATTGTCCATGTTCAATGAGACAGCACGAACAAATATAAGTCTGAGCCGTTATCAATAATGCTACCGGCATAAAATACTTGTTTTTCTGTTGCAACAACATTTAGTTGACAGTTAGATCTTATTTCAGTGACAATGTTAGCGCATTCTTTCTAAGAAAGCATATTGATTTCGAAACGCCACACTGGTGTTGCTTTTCTGTTGTCACTGCTTATCGAGTTAAAATCGAGCAACGACGTTTTTCTTGAAAGCCCTTTTGCATGAAACGGTCCGTTTGTTCTTGCGTAAAAATACCTGAAATGCCAGAACTAAAAGCAAACGCACACCAAAGAGGAAGTACTAACTGAAAGTAATATTGCAATGGTATTTTATGTATGAACAGAAAACATCAGTCTCGTGCAAGTTGGCTTTTCTATCAAAATATTAAGATTTGAACCAGAAATCTTTTAGCTATACCTAGGTTATGAAACATCATGTTATTCGCTTTGATATCCAGGGATTCAAAGCCACTTACTGCCGGACGTTACCTGCAATATTGTTCAATTTACATGTGTGATAATAACATTGAATTTCTTTTCGTTAATGTGGCAAGCAAGTATCCCAGCGCATGGAATAAAACGAGTCATGGAGTATCAGAAACATTTTCTATGAATAAACACGTCGATAAAGTTATGTCATTTTAGAGACAATTGTGACAATAAAACATTGAATTTTAATTAAATTGTATCAGGTTGGTCCACTTTATGCTGCAACGGAAACTATCTGACGTGTCTTTGCCGATTAATCAGATGGTAAATTCTTAACTTACTTTGACTGATTTTTCACTTCCTTGATGGCAACATTTGCTCACCCTCTTTCTTGCAAACAGCACACGTCTATCGTAAAGTAATGATATCATATTTCTCATTTATTGAGAGGTAACTCCATTTATAGCACATACTGGTCTATCTCGTGACATGATTTAAAAAAGCGCAATGCCACAGACCTCAACATTTAGAGTCATGGAAGCAATCTAAATTATTTTACTGCTGTTATGCACAAAGAAGGAAGCCTGTCTTCTAAAGCTGACATGTCGAGTATTAACCATTTGTCAGAGCTCGAGCAATTTACTTTATCAACTCAGTTGATAAAACCAAATTATCGTTTAATATTCCCCACCGAAGTAGCACCACAGTTTCTCTAGAATTCTACCCCTTTATTCATTTGTCCCCTGTTATGTCGTGTACAGGACGCGCACAGTAGTCAAGATGTAACTGACTGTTACTCCCACCTCATTGAATGTTTAGATGATGCTTCATTAACAGGGAAAAAGTTCAAAATTGCTTAACATAATATTTCTCAAAATCCACGAGTGGATTTTAAACGTTTTAATGTGAATACACACTCTTGTAGGCACACACTTACGGACCAATGAAAGCCCATGTAGTATCTAATGTCATGTTTCCATCATCGATTCTGGCCAATGATCACGATACTTCACTGAATTTTCACTAGTTTATTTACAAATGACTTAATACCCGCAAGATTTTCGTATAACTCCACGCTCATTACGCAGACAGCTCTTAGACAAGTAAAAGACAACAATGGCAAATACAATGGATTACCTTTGGGACTACGGCTTCGATTTAGAATAGTATGCGGTTGCACGAAAATCATTCCAGATTCCTTTCAATAAAACTATTCGCCCGTTCAACTGCTTGAAACTGCTAACAAAGTATGTCTAGGTGTCCTATGTTCAAACAGGACTGTCCGCCATGTTGGACTGGACATTGCGCGACAGTCAAGAAACATCATTAAAAGCCTTGAAAACTCATCATCCGTGATGATTCACACCGTTTAACTATTTCTCACCTACCTAAATAGGAAAAAGAAGATTTAGTGCATCTTGACTTCAACAGCTTCCTAGAGATTTTAGCTAGAAAACACCTAAGAATTCTTTTTCCCTGTCAAACTTCGTAACCTCGTTCCAGGTTATTTCGGCCACTTCTAGAACGCCTGACAATTATGATACCTGATCCAAGTGAGCCTCTCAATGAGTTGTTGGTTCTGACTTTTTCAGTTAAAGAAAATCTTATCTGCTGCAACAAAGATAGCGGACAGTTATGTACGTGTGAGTACAGAACTTTGAAAAATGTTTGTTTATGTGGGAATTCGGATTGTTATTCTGTTATTTTTCACTTTGTCACTCTGTAAAGTGAAGATTTTCCTTATTTTCGTCCATCGATTTTTCTTTGGATGAAATGTTATTGATTAAATTGTCTTTTTATGTATAGATAAATTACGATTTGATTTCTTAGGAAATAACTTGGGGTTGTATGTATGCCACTTTCTTTTCAATGATCAGGAAATATATGAAAAACGTTTAATTTCTGTGAGTCAGTCATGAATGTGACACTCCATCTACATTGTACATTGTGTTGGGTCAATGAATCAATCTTTGTTAATCTTTATCAATCTTTAAACTTTATTTAAGGAGGGACGCTCGTTAACCCAAGGAGTTATCTAACATGAGGCTCTCAGAAGCATATTATCAACAGAAGGTTATAGGCTTCTGGTTAATTGCAATAATTAGTCTTAAGTATTGAATATTTTGGGGACTTAAATACAGAACACTTATGTTTAGCATACTGGAATCTTATTTCATTACATGATAATGATATCAATATAGCATTGCCAATGTTGGTTAAAATGCTGGCTCAAAATTACAGGTATTTATTTCAAGGAAAAGTGTTAATTAAATGCATGCAAGCAAAAAATCAGTCTTGGTATCATGTTTATTGTTTGCCTGACATCATAACATTTGACAGATTGCTTTTAATGATTGGCTGAAACAAGTTTAATCATACAACTTAATTTGCTTGAAAAGCATCTTTTCAGAAATGAAACATGATCATTCTGACTTGCCTACATGCAGATGTCTCCTATTTCTTTTGTTGCTGATGAAAAAAAGATGTCTGTGTAACACTGTCACTACTAATGTGTCTCACTGGCAGGATATTCAATTTTGCATGAATTATGAAATAATATCCACTTTCCATCTCTTTGGGCAACTGTTTACTTTTTCTTGCTTAGCCACTGAACCTTCATTTGTAACAACAGTTTTGCTTTCATCTTGAGCTTGTTCACGTGTGATTTCCTTAAGTCTAACTGGAGAAAGGTTGGGAATAAAGTCAAATGTGGGATTAATGTTTTTCATAGGTATTGAAGGAAGAATCAAGCCACAAATTTTCCATGATTACTCTAAAAGAATTCTCTTCCAAGGAGAAACATACTCTTCTGCAGTTAAATCATGTGACTGTACAGCCTTTTTCCTGATAGAAAGCCCTGCCTTATAGGCTTTGGAACTGTAGCTCTGCAAAATTTCTTTGCAGAGTTCTCATAAGTTGTGCGAAGTCCATGCCACTTTTGCAGTTTTCTCAGACACTGTTTACAAATTATGATGTGATGTATCATGCATAGTAAATTATAAAGAAATAATTTCCTTGTACACGTTAAAATTTTTCTGCGGCCTTGCACTTTCAATCGCTCTGTTTTTCAATTGATGAAAAACACAATTGCACAGTCATGTTTTTATTTATTTGTTTGGTTGAAAAACCCTGCTCACATGAATCAATGCATACATTATCAGACCAGATTTGATAACAACCACTTAGCATTTAGTCAAACAATTGGCACTATGTGTCAGCCTATCACAGCCTGTTCCCAAAATTAACCCAGCAGGATGTTGGAAAACAATTAGCAACAGTGTTATGCAGACGTCCCATTTCCACGTACAACTGAGGAAATAGGAGATGTCTGCACGCAGGCAAAGTCCTGAAGTCACAAATTCTCATGGAAGATTACCTAAGCTGGAAAATAATTATAAAAGTCAATATGAAATGTTAAGATCTGTTTTTGCTTCTGCAGAGCACAGTTTTCTATCTGTATTTTATACAGACCAAGTTTTTCCTTTACAGTATGTAATTTCCATTAGTTTCTGCATATAGACACATACAATCCGCAAGTCCTCCTTTCACTCTGAAGAAGGGCTAATGCTCAAAAAGTCAGCTTAAAAACTTGAAACTCAGTAAATTAGCAACTCAGACCAAAATTACCTAAAACACCACAGCTCTACCCCCTTTTTCTTTTAAGTGAGTTGAGTGAAATTAAACCCAGCAGTCATTTTTCTGTAATGTTGTTTTCTATTATTATTATTGAAAAATAATCAGTCTCCTTGTAGGCTTTTCAAGTTTTGAATAGAGCAACTTGCACTGATGAAGGGTGTCATAACAAAACCAATCTTGCAATCACAACACATTGTACTGACTGTTGATAAAATGTGAGGCAACTGTCAACCAAAGCCCAGTAGGTGACCCTTATTACACTGTACATCACTGAAATGCTAACCATAGGCAATTAAATTGCAGTTTTGTTAAATCACAGGATGCCTAAGCGTACTGTGTGACTTTGGGGTGTAAAGTATATTGATGGTTAAATAACTAACATATTAAGATCAAATTTCAAGCATATGTGTGGGCTGTTAAAAAAAGGACAAATTTTAAAAAAAAATTAAGAAAAAATTTAGAAGGATAATGAAAGCAAGGAATAAAACATGCAAAGTCTCCTTACCTTTTTTCCGTAGCTGCTTCGTTGCGAACGGTCGTTTTAACGCTGTTTTGGCGACTTGCTTTGTAACGCGTGCGGTGTCAACAGTCAACTGTAAGATAGGAAAAATTATAAAAAAAAATTACGAAAAAATTAAAAAGGAAAATAAAAGCGAGGAATATATCGTATGAAGTCTCCTTTCCTTTTTTCCGTAGCTTCTTTGTTGTTTACAGTCCATTTAACGCCATTTTGGCGACCTTCTTTGCAACGCGTGTGGTGCTACCGGTCAACTGTGTATAAACAAGTCGACAAAACAACGTTAAAACGACCGTTGGCAACAAAGCGACTATGGAAAAAAGGTATAAGGAGACTTTGCATGTTTTATTCCTTGCTTTTATTATCCTTCTAAATTTTTTCTTAATTTTTTTTTTAATTTGTCCTTTGTTAACGGCCCACATGTATGCTTGAAATTTGATCTTAATAATTATGTTAGTTATTACCATCAACGTACTTTACACCCCAAAGTCACACAGTACACTTGGGCCACCTGTGGTTAAATGATCAATGGGCAAAATATTACCTATTCAATCACAGCAGTTCATCACCAATCCATATTGTTGAATATTCCCACTAGTAAAAATTAAATGAACTTCATTGGTGATGCACTGGAGTGCAAACAAACTTTTTAACTTTTTACTTTTATCTTGAAATATATCTCTTTGTGGCTGATGCACTAGCCAATATATGCATTTTGTTTGGATTGAGTTGTTATCATTCCTTGTCAAGAATTTAAAATGCCTTTATGATTGCACCTTTTGACAGGAAAATAACCAAATAAAACTTATTTCATAAAAAAAAAATTGTAAAACAAACAGCTTACTTAAATGCAAATAACATTCTGATAAAGACTCCCTTAAGTTTTTAAAACTGTTGCACAATGATAAATTGTCATGCCTTGCAAGCTTTTATTTTTAATTTTTCTAAAGGTACCATAAAATTCTTCTAAGAAGCCCTGAAGGGGTGAAGGGGTTGTGACAAAGATAAAAAAAAAAAACATCTTTTGCAGTAATCTTAGCAGGTTGTATATAGCAGATTGAAATGCTTCTCTGATTTACTGTTTCTAAATCAAACATTCAA